TCATCAAATCTCATTATCACCCCACTATCAGTCTCCAGTCATTTATAATGTCAGAACGGAATGTGATCATTCCTATTGTCTTTGTATTGGGCCATAGAGCCCTTAAGGAGTTACAAGTGTTGCCTATTTGGGGCTGGGGTATAGTTTAGTGGTAATCACAGCTGAATATGTTTGAGGCCTATGTTTTCATCCCAAGCAAGAAAGTACACGTGTGCATGTCACACACACACACACACACACACTGCCAACCAGGTGTTGTTATCCTTGATGTGGCAGAGTAAGTTGTATGATCTAGCTCTGAGCTGTTTACTCTAGGGCATAAGGAAAGTCAAGCCGGTTCCCAGGCCTTTGCTTGCTCACTGTTAGACAGAGAACCACATGACACCACCCAGCTCATCATCAAGGCAAATTAATTTTTGCAGCAGATGTCTTGGTCTTAACTGCATATAGTAACATGGATTTCAAAGGACTTTGCGGTTCAGGGTTAAATTAATAACTACAAATCAGAATGGCTAGCAGGCTTTATAACTTGGTAGATAACTCGGGCGAAATAGCCCTGATGGGACAATGTTGTACTTACTCATGTTTCACAAACGACCCCCAGTACAGACAGAATCAAATCAGCAGACCAGAATCAAGGTAATATATTTTGTGAATTCCTAATAATGGAACATCACCTTGAGCATTCCAACTGGAAGGCCATCTAAGTTGATTGTGAATGGCCTCTGCTAGAGCCCATTCAATTGTGCTAGGGCCTCTGTAGCCATGTCTAAACTGTCAGGCTCTCAGCTCAAGGTAACAGTCAGGGAACATCTCAGACAGTGCTGGTCGTCAGTGACTCACACTTATTGTCCTAAATGCTAAACTGTGACTCAGAGTGAATGTATAAGCTGCTCAATGACACTGCGCTTATTTGAAAGAAGCTCACACTGTGAGTCACCTGGTAGTGCCCCAAAAACCATCCTCCAGATTTCCACTTGGACAGTGATTCACATGAGAATCGCACTGCAACCCCGCTTGACTGACACATGTCATTTCAAAATTCATTTCTGTGGAACTGGCTCAGGATTAAGCTACAAAGTCACTCCCTGCTTAACACCCCGGTATTTCTAAGAACATTTTGGCCTCCTAAGATACAAAGTCAAGGGTAACAGAGCCATTTGGTTTACGGATCAGAGAGAACCATGGCTTCCCTCCTCAAGGATGTAGCTCAATTCCTAGAAATAACTTCCCCAGAAAAACGCCCTGTTCTTTCAAATACCTTTGTAGGAGAAGACACCGCCTCCTGCCATAGAGTTGCTCAGCTGTTCCTTTGTGGGCTGCTCCTGTATGCTGTTCTCCAAATCCCCCTCATAGATGGTGAATATGGCTCCACAGAAAGACAGACACGAATACACAAGTAGGAAAATGCAGTAGGATTTTAAGAACTGAAATTCAACATCCCTTGCTAAGCTACTACATTCAAATAGGCAAGCTTTTTTTTTCTTTTTACTTGCTAGTCCAAAATATCTGAAAGAATAAAGATTTCCTGTGTGATTTTAAAGGCTTTCCTAACAGGCTTTCTCATGGGAATGACCTTCAGACAAGCAGGAAACAGATTTTTTAATATGTAAGAAAAACTTGAAATGATTTCTAATACAAAACTGCTCAAGAGATTAATAGACTATTCAACTGAATGCATCCCCAAATAGGGCTTTAATTCTGAAGCCAGCTTGGCCTCTGCTTGTCCTGTGACCTTTGAGGTCATGTCTTTATAATACCAAGTACCATGATGGCAAAGCCTTGTCTTTCTTGCTGTTGAAGCTGACATGTACTTGTACAATCTATCCTTTTATGTACATCCTAGCCTCCTTAGGAGTGTTTGTCAGAGCTATGAGAAAAGAGTCAGAATTCTAATCTTCATTAAGACTCTCAGTAGCTGAAATCCTAAACTCTCCGAATGTTTCCTAGTTTGTAAAATGAAAAAGGTAGAATAAGTAATTGGGTTATCATCAACCTATATTTTTGTATGATAAATAGCTTTGGGGCAAATTATTTAGTATTCTCAAAAAAGTTAGCCTGTCTATTTCCTACAGTAAGTCTCCAAAGTTTCTTAAATAAAAGAGAAGTGCCTCGCTTCAGTAATAATATTGACTGTTTTGTAAATACCGTGATTCAGTGTGTAATTCTTTAAATGCATTGTTGTTTAACAAAGGAAGCTCTTTTTCTGTTTGTTTGAGGCAAGTTCTCATGTAGCATAGGCTGGCTCTGAACTTGCTATATAGCTGAGTATGGCTTGAGCTTCTGATCCTCCTGCCTTCATCTCCTACATGCTGGGATTACCTGTGTGGACACCACCACAGGGGTTTCCATGGTGCTGGGGGCGGCACACAGGGCTTTGTGCCTTTAGGTAAGTGCTCTATCAATTGAGATATAGCTCTAGACCCCATAAACCTAACTCTTTACTTATTCATTACTTTTTTTTCTTGCAATGTGGTGTCTTGGAGGGGTGCCATGGAAGACATGCCTCAATGGAGGTCAGAGAAGTCTGTGCAATCAGTTTTCTTCTTCCGCTTTTATGTGTGTTGTTGGGTTCCTGGGGTTAAACTCAGGACCTCAGGCTTGCATACTAACTGCCTTTGCAGAATTACAATATGTAGCTCTCTTGGCCTCCAGGTCTACATTTTTCTTCCTTAGCCTCAGGAGAGCTGGGGCTAGTAGAGCACACATACTCATACGCTCAGATGTCTTCAGATTTTGAGCTCCGCTAAGCTGATGTAACATCACTGTGATAACACTATGAATAGCTTTTAAAAAAAGATTTATTTTTTATTTTATGTCTGTGTATGAGTGCCCACATAACAGGAGTGCCAAACGCTTGCTGAGGCACGTAGAGGCTGCTGGATCCCCTAGAGCTAAGGCCACAGGTTTTTGGGAGCAGCCAGCATGGGTGCTGGAGGCTGAACTAAGGTCCCCTACAAGAGCTGTAGATTGTCTTAACCTATGATCCATCTCTCCAGCACTATGACTAGTTTTTGCACAGCAGAAGTCCAGAAATTGTACTGTATTAATTTATCAAAGTAGGCCACTCCTCTTTCTACAGATGATACACTAATGCATAAAGAGGTTCTGTAGCCTCTAAAAGTCACAGCCTGGTTGGGATTGGAGACCACATTTAACAGACTGCAGGAAGGACTCTCCACCTCTTAAACATTGCCTTTTGCTCCTACATGCTTTGCTTATTTTAGATACAAAAGATGCGTATTACTGAACAGAAGATAAACAGGATGAAACCTATAAAACATAGGCTTAGGGCAAATAGAAACAAAAATCAGTAAATAGTGGACATTAGAATTGTTCCAAAGCACGTAAAGTAAGTGTCATTTTAGCACGTTTTTGAGAAGTCAGGATGTGGACCTTTGTTTGGATGAATCAGATGAAAATAAGTCTTAGAGGGGCCATTTCGCCAGTGCCCCTGAGGCTGACCAAGCAGGGTTGAGAAGTGATTGCTAGAGCCCAGTAATCCAGTACCATTGCTGCTAGCTTGGGGGGCTATTGCCAGCACTGAGAGCGCTGACTGCATTGACCATTGGCAGCCAAGCCCAACAGGCCAGCTATCTGGCTGTGAAGTCTTGGAAACCCCAAGGGAGTGGTAGGCCTTCACCACAGTCTCAGGAAAGGATGAGGGATTTCCCTTCCATCACTACCCTTCAGGACAGAAACTCTCCTGCGCCACCACTTTCTTCGCGCTGTGGCGCTGTTCTCCGCTTGGGGGCGCAGAGGCAGCAGGTGCTCCCTCCGGGATCTCTTGAGACGGTCTCAGCCCGGCCCCAAACACGCTTTCACCCCAAGTCTACCAGCGGCTGCGTGTGTGTGTTTGTGAGTGTGGAGGTGGTGGCCCAGGTTTTCCTTTCTGCTTATGGAATCCAGGAAGCTCCTGACCCACCCCAGCCCCAGAGAGCCACCTTTCCCAACGCCCCACCTCCAGACCTGAGTGGGATGGGTAGTTGTCAGCGCCTACACACCCTTCCCCAACGCCCACCTCCCGGTCGCCCACTCCCTGTGTGTGGAAATCCTGCGGCGCATTCAAACCCCTCCCCAAACACCCACTCGTTCCCCGCGCGCTGCCTCCTCCGAGGCCTCTCGCCTACTCTCCTGAAGCGGTGGGCGGGGATAGCCCAAAGCACCCAGATCTCCGAAAGAGCCCACCCTTGTCCCGAGGAGCTGTCTCCCTTAAGGCCTCTAGCCAATCCAGTTCCCCCAAAGCTGAGGGCATCAGCGCACAAAGACCCGGCTCCCCATCGCTCACCTCCACGCCGCCTCTTCGCTCCCCACCCGTTCCTTCGGTCGCCGCAGCCTGGGCACCCCGACATCCCGAGCGCCCCTCCGAGTGTGGGAAATCTAGTGCCTGGGCCTGGGAAGGACCCCCCACACACACCCCGCGCCCCGAGCATGTCCCTTAAGCGACTGTTCTGTCTGCTCAGTTGTCCCGGTGCTCGCCGGCCAGCCCACGGTGCGCTCCTCTGAAGGGGAGGTCGCGCGTTCCTGGAGTGTCACCTCCTTCCCACCAGCATTCAGACTGCCCTCAAACCCTCCTCGGTCCCTCGGCCCGGGCCGCGTCCTTTCCCCGAACTCAGTGAGAGCTCGGACTCTTCCACTCGCTTGGGCTTTCCTAAAATGCTCGGCATGGTAGATGCACACTTGAGACCTTAACCACATTCCTCGTCCCGCACTGGGTCTCAGACCCGGCACCACCTGCTTGATGGGTCAGATAATAATGGATCACGAGAGTTCGGAGCCCTCCTTCAGACACCGACATGCCCCGAACCCATAACCCACTCGCGGCAGGAATTGACTAACCCGAAGGGCGAGGACCCACCAGGGCTTCCTTCACCGGGCAAGGAGGGACTGGACATCCCCCACCCCGACCCCGACCCCCATCCCTCCCGCTCCTTCCGCGGCCGGGTCCGGGACTTCAGGGAGAGTCAGGGAGGAAGAGGCGGAGGACACCAGGTACTTACCAGGCTGGGGTCCTCCGGACTAGCTGGAGGGGAAGCTCGGGCCGTCTGGCCTCCATTGGCCGTGCGCATGCGTCCGGAGTGTGCCTTAGTTTTCTAACACTAGTAAGCGCCGTTCCCGCTTCGCCAGCGCTGGCTCTCTGCCTCCCGCCCTTTCCTGCGTCTCCGGGTCTAAGCTCGCAAGCTCTCCCGTCTTCCTCCTCCTTCCCCTTCTCTGACTCCTCTCCGCCCCCGCGCTCGCTTTCCTGGGGTTGGGCAAATCCGGCGGCTCGCCTCCTCCCGGCGGCCGCGCGCAGCGCTCGGAGGCTGGGGGGCACTACCCCGTCCCCGTACCGGCCAGGGGAGCCCCGGCCTGGGTTCCTCTCTTCCAGTAGAGACAAAAGAGCGGGTGCGAGGCGCGGCGAGCTCGGAGGGAGCCTTCGAAGCCTTCTTTATTCCCCGGCCTTAGCTTGCGGGGAGCCCGTTCAGAGCGCGTGAATGAGTGCTGGGACTTTGTGAATGAAGCGAGGCTGGGAGACAGGCGTAGGTTGGGGAGAGGTCGGAGAAAGGGGCCGACGCTCCGTACGCCTGGGTGGCGCCTGTGACCCTCCTGCCTCTGCAGGACAACCCCCACTGTGACCTCCGCCCCTAGAGCCTCTGACCTCTGCCCCTAACACTCTCAGTACAAGCCTCTCTAGACAGCTCTGTCTGTCTCTGTCTCTGTCACTCTCTCTAGACAATGGTTCTACCCGGGCCGGGCCAGCCGGTAGAAAACCTGGCGACTGGGTTGGCAGGGTGGAGTGCGGTGAAAACCTAAGCTTGCACTCCCGTCTCGCGCAGTCTCCTGGCAGTCACCCTTCTCCCCAGGGGCTCCGTGGAGGTGGGAGGGGAAGCCGGGTGCGGTCCCAGAACCAGGACGCCCAGCGCCTGGGGTCAGCGCGGCCCGCGGAGGAACCCTTGGAGCGGGCCCCTTGGGCAGCGCGCCTGAGCTCGGAGGGCCACGCTAAAGCAGCAAAGTGACCTGACACAAAAATAACATCACGTCATTTCCTCCCTCTCCCTCAAGAGAGGGCAGAGGAGTGCGGGCGCGGGCGGTGGCGGCGCGTGGGGATGCTCGGAGAACCTGGAGGAGGGAGCTGCAACTACAGTTGGGAGGGATCCTCGGAGGCGGTAGAGGGCTTCCTCCCGCTTCCAGGGCAACTGATGGCTCAGGAGAAAGTGGCTTCTGGTGCCTGCGCGGATGTGGGAGTGTCGGGGAGCCGCAGGTGCCCTGTCCTTCAGCGTGCCCAGCTCTGTGCCGACCTTCCAATATCCGGGGGCCAGCCCGGGGTGGGCTGGGTCAGTGGGGTTAGGGCGAATGGGAAAGGCTGGGCCCCCGGAGGCCGAGGATGGGTTTGGCGGAGTCCCGAGTACTCACGGACTCTGGCGAACTCTTCCCAGCGCAGACGTCTTCTTCTCCGGGCTTTAGACTAGCCAGCTTCAGACGGCGACCCCTCAGAGGCCGGCCTGGCAGTGCCATTGAGGCCGCAAGTAGGAGCAGGAGGTGGCGGGGTACTGGAGCCAGCCAGGCGGTCAACCAGGCGGGAAGCGGATAGGAGAAGTCCCAGTGTCGCCGGCGGGCCGCGGGAGGGGGTCGTCGCAGAAGACACGAGAAGAAGCTCGTTGCGAAGGAGAGCAGGCTAGAAAGGTGGCGGAGCGGCGCTGGGACGGAGGGCGAGTCCGGGAGCTGTGCAGGGTGGACAACGGGAAGGGTGAGGGGCACGGGAGAAACAAAAACAGCACATCGTTACCATCGTGTTCAGTCACCTACTTGAGAGCTTGCAGAAGCATTCTGAGAATTTACTTTGGGGGGGGGGGGTGCAAGAGAAGGTGAAGGCAAAAAGAAAGAGCAAGCGCCAGGTTAGAGGTTTTCCTTCAAGTCTCCCCTCCTCTAACACTCTGCTGCTGAATGTTGTGGTCCCTGGACCAGCAGCTGTTGCCGATACCTAATGCCCATAGGAATGAGGCATTTGTGTCCCTATCCTATCCTAGTTCAGCAGAATCTGCGCATTTACACCCCTGTGGGATCTGTATGCGCGTTAAACCTGGTGTGCCTGTGTAGGAAGGTTTAGTTCGCATCTATTCATTTTTGCAATTCTTCCTCTTGCTTACCAGGTCCGACTGGGGTAGCTGTTAAGTGGGACTTGGATGGTAGATGCAGGTGGTCGAAGAATGCCAGGCTCACCTTTTGCTGTGGGAGAGGTGCAGGGAGCGGGGATGGGGGGTGTGTGGGTGGAGGATGGGGGAGGTGCAGGGAAGGGACCAATTTGGCTTTAGGATTCAATGGAGTGGAGGGGACCAGGATTCTGTTTTGTAAGCATTCCTCCTGCAGGCCTCTTTTCTGAACTTCATGTGTACACCTTATTTTCAGAGTTCTGTATTCCTAGGAGACTTTGCATTAAAGAGGGTGAAAGTAAATATACTTTTTTTTCTTTGAAAGTTAAATATATATATATATATATATATATATATATATATATATATATATATATATATATATAATTCTTGGGCATATTTAGAGTAGAACTTGTGAGTACTGGGTCCTAGAAACAGCCTTTTTACCTGCAACTGTGGAAACGGCACTTTAATTTTCGAGTTTATCCACTTTTTTAGAAATGAAAGAATGGAATCAGTCCTTTAAAAAGAATCTTTAACAGGGGGGAGAGGGTGGTGCATGCCCTTAATCCCAGCACGTGGGCAGGCAGATCTCTGTGAGTTCAAGGCCAGACTGGTATACACAGCGAATTGCAGGACAGCCAGAGCTATGTAGAGAGTGCAGATAGGCCTTGTTTAAAAAAAAAAAAAAACAAAAAACTTTAATTATAAACTCTAAGTATTCTTGCCTTAGTGGGAGAATTGAGACGTACCAAGATAAGGCTGGGATATAGCTCAGACTGTTTACTAGGCATGCTAGAAGTCCTAGGCTCAGCATAGCAAAACTGCCCTCGGACAGTAACCAACCCAGCACTGGGGAGGCAAGTTCATCCTTGACTTAGTGAATCTGAGGTTAGCATAAGCTAGCTACACAACAACCTGAGAATGTGTCTCAGACAAGGAGCGGCAGAGGAGGAGGAGCTGGTGGTGGAGGAGGAGGTTTTGGAGTAGGATTGCCAAAAGGAATCATGTGTCAAAAAAAATATTGCTTTAAAAATATTTGTCTTTGTTTGTTTGTTTGTTTTGCTGAGACAATGCCTTTCTGAGTAGCTCAGGCCGGTCTTAAACTTTCCATTCTCTGTCCTCAGCTTCCCGAGTGTGAGAATTACAGGAATGTGCCACACTGCGCCTTACTTCTGCTTGAAGGCCAGGGCTTCCATCTTTAAGCCCTTCTTAGCTTCTTGCCTTAACGTTTAGCATAGTGTGCAAACCGGAACCTAACTCTGCCAATCCAAACACCTCCCTCAAACAAGACACAAAAACATTTCAATCTGTCTTTGAAAAAAAAAAAAAAAAAGAGTAGTGGTTGCCAGGAAAAGTGAAGGGAGAGGCGGGAAGCAACGAATAAAAAGTGACAGTGTGTTGGGGCTCCCATGGGGAGAGCGCCAAGGACAGCTGGGCTCAGGTCCCAGGGGCGAGGCGCGGGCGCTCTCCAGGGTCCTGAAGGCGGGAGCGGCCGCGGGCGCTCCTGGGCCTGGCTGGGTTCCCAGACTTGGTAGTCACCAGTCCTGCCTGTTTTCTTAAGGCGGTGGAAAACTTGTGGGAAGGGAGTGTGTGTGTGTGTGTGTGTGTGTGTGTGTGTGTGTGTGTGTGTGTGTGTGTGTGTGTGTGTGTGTGTGTGTGTGTGTGTGTGTGTGTGTGTGTGTGTGTGCGCGCGCGCGCGCGCAGAGTCGGGTGTGTGTGTGTGTGTGTGTGTGTGTGTGTGCAGAGTCGGGGGGCGGCAGGGAAACCTAGCAACCCATTCTCATTCATGAGGCCTTTTTTGGGAAGCAGCAGAGAGAGCTAGCTTATTGTCTCTGTCGTTTGTATGCGCGGGAGAGTTGATCTGGGTTCCGGAGTGAGTACACACTGTGTTGCTGTGTTGCTTTCCTTCACTACCGTCTCTTGGGGGAATGGGACCATTCTAGAATCTTCATTTTCCAGCTTCCCGTGCCTGCCCCTGCCTTCAGCCAAGGTGCATTTATTTTAGCAGATGGAGCTGAGAGCCCTGGAGGTTTACCGGGAGCTTCAAACAGCTCATTTGTGGAGGGCAAATGAGCCTTTTGGAGAACTCACCCAGAGACTGGGAGTCCCCTTGCCCTGGAAGGGGCAGTGGACATAGCCCTCCCCCCTCTTTCTCTCTCTCTCTGCCTCTGTCTCTGTGTGTCTCTCATTCTCTCTGTGTCTCTGTGTTTCTGTCTGTCTGTCTGTTTCTCTCTGTGTTGGGAGAGGTGTTCAATGCACAGCAAAGGGGCAGGACCTGGGCAGTGCTGCTACCACTGGTCTGGGCCACACCTGCTCCTGTCTCCCGAGCCTCAGGTGCAGAGTGGTCCTAGAACATGCTGCCAACCTGTGCAGGAAGCCAGCAACTGGGTGAAGGTAGACAGCTACAAAATTAAAACAGGACTGGATCCTTCCCAGCAACCTACACCCGGACTGTGCCCAGCCTCATTCAGCCTTTGCTACTCGCCCACACACAGGGAAGTTAGAACAGTGAAAATGCTGACAGTGCCAGGCACACTTCCGAAACTCAAGAGTTTGGACAGCCTCCAAGGGCCAGAAGAAGAAGAAGCAGCTTTGGGCCGTTTGTAGATCGTAGATGGCAGAGTTTGGTATCACCAGCTTCTGTTGAGTGAAGACTTCCTCTCCCTCCCCCCACCCTGCCCCATGCCCTGTCAGTCTCCCCAGTCTCTCTAAAGCCCCTTCCTTGGGTATGCTTCATTAGGCATTTTGCTCCGGTCCTTTGCTTCAACACAGAGACTCTTTTGAGGGAGCTGTGAAGTGTTCAGAGAGAATAAAAAAATGTCCTAACAGATCCCAGAGAAACAAAGTTTATGCTCATTTGCTCAGCTAGAGACCAGTTGGCCTGCCAGTTCTAGCCCTAGGCCCTGGGAACCTGGGCAGGACTGCAGGCACAAGTGAGGTGGGCTGGGGTGGTGGTGATCTTTAGGCTCCAATAGCAAGGACAGAGAGAGTCACGGAGTGTTGATGCAGCCACAAAATTCAATCTAGGAAAAGTTATCTCAGAAAAGACTCAGCTGTTTGATCCTGGCCCCCAACTCCCCACTCCTCTGCACTGTCTGGGGCCCCTTTCAGCCACATAATAAGTGTCAGTCTGAGGTCTCTGTAACATTAGTCACAAGTGCAATCTGTACTCCTGAAAGCCTTTAAGGATCAAATAGAGGCTCTATGGGGACTGAACAGTGACCTCCCTAATTAATCATATTGTCTATTGAAGACAATCACAATGGCTTTCTGCACAGTCGAAGAGACACACTCAAATCAATGTACACAATACCTCCCGGATTCCCAGGCAAACAGAGGTTCTTATTTTTGCATTTAAACAGTAGTGCTTCACAGAGGAAAAGCCCATGGCAAATTAAACTACCCTTTTCCCAAAACAGGCTAAGCATCTGTAGAGTTAAAAATCATAGTTAAGACAGAGTTTGAAACCCAGCTGGTGGCACATGCCTATAATCCCAGGGAGGCAGAGGCAGATGGCTCTCCCTGAGTTGAGGCCAGCATGGGCTATAAAGTGAGTTCAGGACAGCCATGGCTACACAGAGAAACCCTGCCTTGAAAAACCAAAAGACAGAGTTCAAAATTAGTTTTCGTTTTATGAACTGATGTATTTTCTCCAAAATTTTATGTTTAAAATACTATTTTGCTGTGGTTTAGACATACATTGCATTTTTAATTTTTTTGCTATTGGAAACATGAACATCATTCTTTCTCTGGAACCCAGAGTATCCAGCAGACAGCAATCAAGAAGTATAAAGCCAGATTTTGCATGTAGTGATATAAACTGGGCAGATAGGGAGATGATGCCTCAAGCAGAATGTGGCTAAAAGAGCCACAGAGTATTATTAATCCAAGGAACACACAACATGCTTATGTTTGCATTTACTTAAAATGTCCATGTTTCTTCTAGAAGCACAATGACTTAAAGCAATATTTCTACAGCTCATAATTAGCTCTGACTTCACATGTTATTTAATGACTTTTAAAATGTGTTTATGCCTAAGACCTGTGTAGAGAAGTTGTAGAGGCATTGTATGATAATGATGAGGAGGAAGGAGGGGCAAAGGATAGAGGAGAGTGGGGCAGAAGTGAGCTACTTAGGGGCCATGTAAGCTGGGACAGACAACACTCAAATCTCCTTCTTCCAATTAACTTCAGAGACAGCTGGACCCATCTGCACCATAATTTACCAAGTACAGGGCTTAGGAAAGAAAGTGGGACTTAGAGTATTTGTTATGTCCCTATGGTTTCAGTGTGTCCAGGACTTTTAGAAAAAGACTTGATCATGAAGGTCTTGGAATATCTAGACTGAGTTACTAAACTAAGTTCTTTCTAGCTGACTTGTTCTGTCTTGTCATGTGATGCCTTCCAGTATGTTATGGTGCAGCAGGAGTTCTCACTAGATACAGTGCAGAAGCTGGAAATATGTTCCTGGACTTCTCAGTTGCCAAAAAATGTCTATTCTTTATTTTGTTGTAGGAATCAAAATAGAGTAAACTCCTGATCCTCATCATCTTCTCCTTTTGATGTCTTTAATTAGACCAGTAAGTGTCAACCTGTTTATCCTTTTTCTAAAGCAGAGTTGAAGTTCATTACAAAAACATTTTTGACAGACTTAAAACAGTTGTTAATAGAACGAGAGTCACTTAACCTGGGAAACAGTAAGGCAGACCTAAGAGCATTAATGTGGGCTTCTCAAGGAGGAGTCTTCACAGCTTGATTGTTTTATTCAACTTTTGGTCCCTGCTCCCTCAACCTCCTTGATGCTGGAAATTGAACACAAGGCATGGTACATGCTACACAGGTGCCCTGCCACTGAGCCCTACTCTAGTCCTCTGGCTGTTGCTTTTTAAAACTCACTGTCTAATAACTCTTTGTATTCCCAGATCACCCCATGTTACCAGCTGACTTGACCCTTTCCAGTTTATGTCTTGCAATTTGAACCCTGAGCACATCAGGATATGACCTTACTTGTAAGCAGAGTTGTTGCAAATGTTGTTAGTCAAGGTGAGGTCATGCCCGAGGAGAATGGCCTTATTTCACTGAGTGGTCTCTTTATAGAAAGGAGAAATGTGGACCTACCCTTTGCACAAGGGAGAATGCTGTGTAGGCATGAAGACAGAGATCCAGGAGATACGTCTATAACCCAAGCAATGCCAGAGATCCTTAGCAAGACACTAGAGCTCAGAAGAGGCCTAGGACAGGTTCTCCCTCAAAAGGAATTTGTCTTCCAGATTGCAACACAGAAACACTGACTGAGTTTCCAGCTTGCTTGTCCTGTCCTGCAGATTTCAGAATCAGGACTGAAGTGTCAGTTCTTATTTGAATTTGTAAGCTGTTGTCTTGTTTCCCAGACTTTAGGTCTGCCAGTGTTTCCAACTTCCTGAACCTTAAAATAAATCTTTCCAACACACACACACACACACACACACACACACACACACACACACACACACACCTCATGTATATACACATGTACATGTTTAAGTACTTTTGAAGGAAATTATTAAGAATCTGAGAAATAGGGTAGAGGAATGGGGGAAAGAGGGAGGGAGGATGGGACCGGGAGGAGACAAGAAAGGGGGCTACAATTAGGATGTAAAGTGAATAAACTATAAAAAATAAATTTAAATAAAAAAACTACAGTATAGAAAAAAGAATCTTGCCTTTTGTATTTATTGCTTTTTAAAATACAAATGTATTTTATAAGAATATGGACTGCTTCACGAATTTTCATGTCATCCAAGCACAGGGGCCAAACTAATGTTCTCTGTATTGTTCCAATTTTAGTAAATGTGCTGCCGAAGGGAGCACATTTATTACTCTCTTGATAGTACTAAAAACAGTGCTTGCTCCTTGATAAAAGACTCAATAAATAGTCAGAGGCCAAATGGACTACAAATAAATAAAAATTATTCAGCCAGAGAGGGCCCAGGATTTTTACATAGGCTACAACATAGATGAATCTTGAACATTTTACGCTAAGTGAAAGAAACCAGATACAGAAAGACAAATATTGCAAGGTTTACGTTCATGTGAGTTACCAAGAATATGAAAATTTTGAGAGAAAATAGAATAGAGGTTACAAGGGGAGGAAGAGATGGGAGAATGAAGTTACTGTCGGACAGTTGTAGAATTCCTGTTTAGAAGTAGATGGCGGTAATGTGTAGGAAACATGATATATAAGCTAACGCCACTGAATCATATCGCTAAAATGGCAAAGACTGTGAAGTGTATGTTACTTCTCCACTGCAATGAACAAAATCACCTCTAAAATAAGAGGAGAGAGATAAAGCTCAATGGCAGAGCACTTGCTAGGGTGTGCAAAACCTGAGCCCATTCCTAGACTTGAACATACAAACAAGCAAGGGACCAAGCAAATTCTTCCAGGTGTAAGCTTCCAGCCCACCAGGAACAAAGGAAGGACACAGCAACTTCAGTGCTTTCACTCTGTTTGGTTCTCTCATTTTTACGTATGCTGTCACCATTCAGAGTGTTTGTAATATACACACTGCCTAGTGTAATTCTCCTGTATTTACTGAAAAGTAGAGTACAGCACAGGGGAGTAGAAAGAAATACCAGAAACAGACAGAGGCAGGGACTGGGTAAGAAAGGTAGAAGACTGTGTGGTGCTACTATACTTTCATTGCTTCTTTCTTTCTTTCTTTCTTTTTTTCTTTCTTTCAACAATAAGATGAGATGGTTTGAATAAGAATGGCGCCCAAAGGTTCATATACATATATGAATGCTTAGAGAGTGACACTATTTTAAAAGTTTAGGAGGTGTGGCCTTGTTGGAGGAAGTGTGTTACTGGGGGTGGGCTTTGAGGTTTCAAACGCTCAAGCCAGGTTCAATGGCTTTCTTTTCTTGCTGCCTGTGGATCCAGTTGTAGAACTCTCAGTTCCTTCTCCAGCACCATGTCTGTCTGTGTATCCACCATGCTTTCTACCATTCTGATAACGAACTGAACCTCTGAACTGTAAGCCAGCCCCAGTTAAATGCTTTCCTTTATAAGAGTTGCCATGGTCATGGTGTCTCTTCACAGCAATAGAACACTGACTAAGACAGAAGTTGGTACCAGGGAGTGGAGTATTGCTATGCCCGGCCTGACTATGTTGCTTGTTGGCAGGATGTGGACTTTGGGACTCTGGATTAGAAAAGCAGTTGAGCTAAGAAGGGATTAATGGGCCATACTAGTAGGATCATGGAATACACTGATGCTGAAAGCATTGTAGAACAACAGAGCCTGACTCAAGAGGTTTCAGTGAAGAATATTAGTAAGTGGCCTAGAGTCTGTTCATTTGATATTATGGTGAAGAACGTGGCTGCTTTCTGCCCTTGTCCAAAAATTCGACCTAAGGCTAAATTGAAGAGTTTTGGGTTAATGGTGTTCGCAGAAGAGATTTCCAGACAGGCTAATACTGACCCTGTCAAGTGATTATTAGTAGTTACTCTTATGTAGATATATGATGAAAAGAGCAAACTGAGCAAGGAAAAATACAAAATGTACAGTTTGAAGAGAAAAGAAGCATCAGGAGGTCTAACAAAGCTAAATCAAGAGCTCTGGGAGTTACTGGTTTAAAGAAGGGTCTGAAGTGATAGACTAAGATCAGAAGAAGGAGAGGGCATCTCCCCTATCAGTGGGCTGGGGGAAGGGCATGCATGCAGAAAGAGGAGGGAGGGTGGGATTGGGAGGTGATGAGGGAGGGGTTTATGGGGGGATACAAAGTGAATAAAGTGTAATTAATAAAAGTTAAAAATAAATAAATAAATAAAAATAATAATAAAAATATGAAACATCTAAAAAATAAATAAAACTTTAATAAAAAAAAAAGAAGGGTCTGATGCTAAATGAAATAAAGAGACTGGTAACCTCCCAGCAAGATCCTACCCAGCTAAGCTTCCAAAAAATGAAAAGGAATTAAATGAAAGCTTAAGCAGCGAAGGAAACTATTGACAACAGAATAGTGATGCGGATGTGATTGAACGAGGGTTTCATGTTCCAGTCCCAGCATGCAGCAGAACTTGGCAGTTTTCACCATGTAGTTCTGACACTAGAGTCAAGGATACAAGAAAGGGGTTGTGGGTTCTCTTTCCGTGGGCTAAAGAAAACCACTGAGGTCATCTATGTGTCAGGGGCATTTCTGCATGGAGCTCCAGAGAAGCTCCATGTAAAGCTGTGAAAGCAAAGTCTGGATTTCACTGGAGACCCAAGATGTTGAAGATGCCAGAGTCCTGGGAACCACAACACAAGTGTATTGCAGCTAACAAAGCTAAAAGGAGTTGGAGATCTTCAGAGCATGGCGACATCAGATGTGGAGATGGATAACTCTGAGTTTGCACAGCTCGTTTTCGATTTTGCTTTGTCCAGTGTTTCCTCACTCTGTTCCCTCCCCCCACCTTTGGAATGGTAATGTATATTAGATGCCATTGTATGCTGTAGGTATCTGATCTGCTTTTTATTTTTTTTAAATAGGGGGTTACAGTTAAGAGATTGTCATGAGTCTCAGAAAAGACTTTGAACGTTGGATTTTTAGATTTATTTATTTATTTATTTATTTATTTATTTATTTATTTATTTATTTAATGTATATGAGTACCCTGTTTGCAGGTACACCTACATGCCAGAAGAGGGCCTTAAATCACATTATAGATGGTTGTGAGCCCCGTGTGGTTGCCAAGAATTGAACTCAAGACCTCTGGAAGAGCAGACAGTGCTCTTAACCGCTGAGCCATTTCTCCAGCCCTAAGTTTGGACTTTTGAACACCATTGAGACTTTTATAGTATGGGGACTTTTAAAGTTGGACTGAATCCATTTTTCATTATGATATACCTACCAGCCTATGAGAGACAAGAAGTGGAATGTCGTGGTTTGAAGAAGAATGGCCTCCATAGATTCACATATTTGAATGCTTAGGGGATGGCACTATTTGAAATGGTTAGGAGGTATGGCCTTGTTTGAGGAAGTGTGTCACTTGGGGGATGGGCTTTGAGCTCTAGTGGCTCTCTCTACCTGCTGCCTGCAGATCCAGATGTGGAACTCTTAGCTCCTTCTCCAGCACCATGTCTGCCTGCAAGCTGCCATGCTTCCAAGCACACTGATACTGAGCTGAACCTCTGAGCTGAAAGCAAGCCCCAGTTAAATGCTTTTTTGGATAAGGGTTGCCATCATCACAGGGTCTCTTCACTGCTGTAGAACACTGACTGAAACACAAGGTCTCCACATTTTGCCTAGGGATAGCCTCACACTTAGAACCCTGCAGCATTATCCTTCCAAATGCTAGTATTACAAACACGTATCACCATACCCTACTTAGTCATTCTTTCAACACTATTTGTGTTGTGTCTTCTATTTTTTTTTCCTAAAGGCTTGAATTCCAAGTGAGTAAGAAAGAAAATGGGCATCTTTTGTGACCATATGATTAATTAGAGGGCAGGAACAGTCCATACGGAACAAACCAGGTAAATGGATCAATTTTAAAGATTTTAGATTTATTTAAAAAGCAATAAGAAGTCACTAAAAAGCTGAAAGGAAGCAAATGACACGATCTGATTGCTGTTCTGTAAACTAGACTGAACTGGGGGATGAGGCAAAGGTAGGTAAAGAAAACAATGAGGCTTTAAACTGGTCTAAGTGAGAGATGATGATCTAGGTGGGTAAGGGCAGTAAAAATGTGAACAGATAAATTTGGTGCAACGTTTAGAGGTGGATTTAATAGAACTCTAGGTGAATTAAATGAACAGGCTAGTCAAAGGGGAATTAAACTTGATTTTCAGTGCTTTCCCTCTCTCTTGAACAGCTGGTTGGCTTGCTGAAATGAAGAAATTGAGAAAGACAGGTTTTTGAGATGCCAATGAGTCACTCAAACGGAAATGGCAGAAGTTTGCCCCAAGAGAGATTTGAGCTCAAACCAGAACTCTTGTAGGAAGGAGATATAAATGTGTCATTAGCATAAAACAGTATTGGAATCCATTCCTGTGGAGAGTGCCGGTGAGGAGTGAAGGGGACACAAGCACACCGAGTCAGCCTCTGGAGCTGGAAGGGCGTCCAGCTACAATGAGCCACTGATACACTTTAAGCAAGAAGACAATATGATCATGACTGTATTTTAGAAAGATCTCATTTCCTCTGGTGTTGCTTAGAGACAGGCATGGTTGGGGAAAGGGATACCAGATAGAGAGCAGTTGCAATAAATTTTTGACATGTGGTCATGACCTGATCCAAAAGTGTTAAAAGGAATAGAAATAGATGAAGAGCTGTTGTGCATTCATTGTGCAGGAGACATAGATGAATATGTTTGCATCTTTCCACAATGCTAGAATTTATTGACTAACAATAAATTCACATGTCACAGTAATTATAATGGCACAATTTGCCAGTTAGTCCCACCTATAGTAATCTGGACAAGGTGAATGGAGGTACTTTTAATCCAATCTGTGTGTGTGTGTGTGTGTGTGTGTGTGTGTGGAGAGTGGGGAGGAACATTAGGTGCAAGCAGACTGAATATATAAATTCACATGACTATATTCATATATATTTTCCTGATATATATTAGTATCTGGAAAACCAGGCTCAAGAATTTATTAAACACTACAAATCAAGGAAAGGTCCTCCCTTACTTGGGGAGGACTGGCCTATCTCTGCAATGACAACAGTCTCACACTGCCCCATCATCTGGCAGGCATGTGTGTCAAGAACTAATAGGTGTTTCAAATGGCCCTTCATGTCTGTTGTCCCTCTACCTATTTCCTCCTTTACTCTTCTCTCAATACCCTTTCCATTTAATACTCCCAGTTGCTCCTTTATCTTTCC